TAAATCCATTTTTAATTTAAAAGAGACATGGAAATAAACAGAACTAAGAATTAGGGAATTCAATATTTTAAAATTATGAGCACAGTAGCCACAGTTCTTTTTAACGATATATTTCGAATCTCCTAGCTTTTAGAAGTTAACTACAACGTAATTCCCCAAGAAGAAGGAAGATTTCCAAACCGTAACGTAAATGGCAAAAAACCAGGGTTCGGAGTCATCTTAAGCACCAGAGAGCACACACATGTGTGATCTTAGTAACCTTTCCCAGCATCCCTGGGCCCATTTCAGAGCGGTGCAAATTAAAGCTTCGAGCAAACCTTTGCCCCTTAGAAAGTGAAACAAAGACAAGAAACTGCAGCACAGGACAGTGGTTAAGAGTTTAAGGTGGGAAATCGGACTGCCATTGAGTCAGACAGCTGGTGTCAAATATCTGCTTCCCCGCTTCCTAGCTGTGGGCCTTAGGCAACTTAGGGAAGGCTCCCAGGTGTGAGTCTAATAGTATCTCTTAGGTGGCTGGGAAGATTAAAGAAGCTCCAGCATGGGAAACTCTTAGCACACGGTTTGGCAAGTAATAAACACTCAGTAAATGCTACGGATCATACAAAGCAGCAGCCCTTTTGTCTAACCACCACATGACATTTCCTTCCTTTTGGGGTTGCAGATTCCCCTATCAGGTGGTTATAAAGTCATCTGCTATCTGACGGTGGAGGGAGGCCTGCCTTCACATTTCAGTTTTACGAGTTTCCTGGCTGCCTGAGTGCTGGGAAGCCCTTCATTTGCCCAACGTGCCAAACCCATCTCCCTGCGAACAAACAAAACGATGACAGTGTCCTGCTCCAAAAACAAAACAAATCCAGAGCCTGAGAACTAAGGCATTTCCACGGTAAAGAATAATGAGCGCACCAAGAATGTAATTTCTGCCACAGTCCAGGTGGCCTTTGAGGCAGGTGACAGCAGAGGCCAGGACGGTATTAACTTCATCAGAGTAGATAAGTCAGCGGGAGCTACTCAATCACTTGACAGAAGTCAATTCAGAAGGCATCTGAAATGCCTGGCTTTAAAGATAATCATGTTACGAATCAAAAAGGGGTCTAATGTTTGAGTCATGCCTTTCAAATGCAACAAATCATTAGACTGTCAAGATTTATGGACAGATGTATTTATGTTGACACTGGACCACTAATGCTTTGACAAATGAGGGGCCTTGACATACACAACAGATATGTCCAAGTCTATTTCCCGATTCAAAAAAAGGGATGCAGTAGAGAATGATGACAAGCTAGCGATGTGGGCTGGCCTGGCTCTGGGGGGCTTCTGCCGTCCAGCGACCCCCACTATGGCCCCTTGCCCATTACAGCAGGCCCAGCGACGTTAAGCACAAAGGGCCCCTCTCGCCAATGAGTAAGACTAGAAATGGCTGATGTGAAAGTTGAATAAAGAATAGATTCCCCTGGAGGTTACCCCGACACAGAAACGAGTCTGATTCCTCAGGCCTCAAAGGACTTGTGGCCCTCTGTGAAGGAAGTGAGGAGAATTGGATTAGCTGCTGAGAAACTGAGTGTGGTGATGCAGCGGTGGCCTTGGCTCCTGATTAAGTTTATTGAGGACGCTAATTCCTGTCAGAGAATTAAAGTCAGGGCTGGATGCAGACCCAAACACCTGGAAGAAATTTGTTTTGGAAAGAAAAGAAAAGCCTGTAAAGAGACAATTAGATTTATCATCTATCATCAGGAATTTGATAAACTCACGATGGTCAAAAGGGACCTTAGATGAGATTCATTAATGTAACAGGATCTGGAGCATTAGTAAGAGGGGCCTTTGCAGATGGAATTGTATTTCCACCTGTGTGTTTTTGGATATCATCCCCTGAATTTTGTTTTTTTACCAACTCACACCTAAGGCAACTAATTTCCTAAGGCCAGATTTAGGAAAATCCAATCTATAATAACATAGTCCCTGGATTAAAAGAAGGGATTTCTTTATTACAGGACAATGCAACACGCACCAAAGCTTTCCGGGAAGGAAACAAGAGCCTGGAATGACAAGAGTGAGCTTCTATATAGAGTCAGAGATTGGGCGGTGGCCATTACTCCAGAGGCAGAATGTGGCGTCACTAAGAGGTCCCCATGAGGCACAGCAGGTAGCTTCAGCCCGCGTGTCTCCATGCCTGTGCACAAACACACACACACCCCTCCTGAATTCTGCTGTGATGATGGAAGGCAGAAGGATTAAGAGGAGTTCCGTGTGGTAGAACAACCACTATCCCAACAGTCATTCATTCATTCAGAAAATATTTATGAACACTTCCTGTGCTCTGGACACCAAGTCCTGGAGATACACCAGTGGAAGATCGCAGATAACACACCTGCTCTCAGGCGCTGACGGTCCAGTGGTGGGTGGTGTGAGGGGAGAAGCATCAGCAAGGCAGATTAAAAGATAAATGCGGGGTGAGACAGATGCTGTAAAGCAAAGAAAGAACTTGTGGGACGAAGAGTAACGTGGAGGAGGGCACCTGAAGAAGACTTTACGGGAGGATGGCTGAGAGAGAAGATAGGAAGGAAGAGGATGGAAAAGCCACATCGAGACCTGATGTGCAGTGAGCTGAAAACTCCTGAGGGAGGCAAACTCTTGGCTTGTTGGAGGAAAAGACAGAGAGTTGAGCATGAGAGAGGAGACAGAGTAAGTTACGGCAAAGAGTGAACAAGAACCAGTCAAGTCTTATCATCAGATTTCAGTGGAAAAAAATACATCTGATTGATCTGTCAGTGACCTATTGTAGAGAGGTGAGAAGGTGCGCAGGGATATGTACTAAGGCTGTCTAGTAATTCAGGCGAAATGATGGCTGTGTGGACCATATGGATGCCATGCGGATGGAGAGAAGTAGATGGATTTGGGATTTATTTTGGAGTCAAAACAGACTGTAATTGCATAGTCAGTTTCTTCTAAGGTTAAAATTTTTTTTCTTCCAACCATGCACCTAAGATTTATATGGAGATTAATGAAATGGTATCCACACAGTGCTTTGAATTCCTTGGAGGGAAGCAAAGCATTATTATTATTTTCTTTACTCATATTATGAATTTATTAAGTTTTAACTCCTATACAGAGGTAGGTATTTCACTGACAGCTGGGGTCTCATTTAGCTAACCAGGTGCCCAAGTTAAACAAAGGTTATATTATTATTGAAGTTATTATTGGAAAAACATAATAGCTCATGTTGGATACCAATAACAAAATCTAATTTCATGTAACTCCAGCAGGCAGCTTAGTTATGGGGCATGGGTTAGGGTACTCAGTGATCAGGTTTCTGATACTCAATGTTCTCTTTTTCTTACCAGCTTTAAGGGGGTTTGGGGTCTTGAGTGGTTCCAGCCCAGTTCATTCTAAATGATAGTTTTGCACAGTGGTCAAAACCAAAATTTTCTCCAGAATTTTAAATTAATCTCTTAAGGAAGTAAAGGCCAGCATGTTGACAGGGCAAAGGAAAAAAAAAAACCCAAATTAACTGGTCCTTAAGAAGTAATTAAACCCAGGAAATTTGGTTATAGGAGGAAGGGAATTTTAGAATAGGCTTATGATTAAATTAAACAAAACATAATAAATGTAGTAAGAATACACAGTAATATATTTTTCATAGTTTGGATGTGAACAAAATCAGAGCTAATATAGTGCCTGAGACCATTCTAGTCTCTCCTTCCCCACAAGGCCCTCCTCCTCCAAAATCAGATTGTACCAGGCATAAACTGCATAGTTAGTTGTGAGCTCCATCACTTAATAGCTGTTTTATTCTAAAAAAGATTAGAGCTTGCAAACCAAATAATACGGCTTAAATGATGCAACTGTGTGCAGAAATACTGGTTAATGGCTATGTTAACCAGGGTAAAAAATGTCCTTTAATATGGTCTGGGCACCTACTGAGGACATAGTCACTGCAGTTAGCATTGGTGTGTTAGTGAAGTACACTGTTAGAGCCTGAAATGAGGGCTGTCTGAGAGTCAGGACATCAATATGTGTATAGTTGGAAGATGGCCATTACCAACAGCATTAATCCACATCATAAGTCAAATGGGCAGAAGGAGAGTTTCCTCCAACTGAGTGATAAGTTGTGAACTCCTCAGACTCCTTCTCTAGGTCCAGGCCCTTGCTCTCATATTTCGTGCTCTCTTCCACCATAGAAGACATTAGTCTTCCGTCAGCTGCCTACCCAATTTCCATTTCCCTTTTCTTCTTTGTTAACAGAGCCCTGATTTTGACTGAGGTTGTCATGTGCCTGGGCAAAGTGTCCAGCTTCCCCGATTCCCTTGCAGCTAGGGTTGGCTCCGCGAGTCACTTCTGGCTAAGGAGATCTAAGTGGAAATCTGTTGGATCGGGCTTCCCGGAAAGCCATTGTTTTCCTAATCGTAAGAGGCCAGACTTGACTGGCAGGTCTTTTTAAAATTTTAGCCAACTACCCTTTGTTTCTTTCTCTTCTTTGTGCCAGAAACATGGACATGATGCCTGGAGATGCAGCAGTAACGCTGACCACATAAGTTGTCAAGCAGGAAGACAAAAGCTAACTCACTAAGGATGGGGGAGAAGTGAGAATGAGTGAGCCTGGGCCCTGCCAGAATTGTTGAGCAGCGATAAAAATCCTGGACTGCCTACTTCCAGATTTGCTAATACATTTTTAAGCGACAGTTGGCTGCACTCTTATATACTATCCTGAAACACTGAGGTGGACCATCAGCTTTTACCTGATTTGCAGAGCAATGCCCCCCATTTCACTCTAAGTTTCCTGAGGGCAGGAACAAAGCTTTCTTCATCTAAGCATTCCCTATGGTGCCTAGCTAAGAGCTAAAGACCTAGGGAACCCTGAACTAATTTGAAACCTTAAAAGGGATGCAAGAAACCTAAGGCTTCCTTTATACAAGTGATTCTCAACCAGGAATCACACATCAGATTCACTATGTGTGTGTATATATGTGTAAAAAGAGAGACACAATCATATACAACATAACTACCTGGGCTCCATCTCCAAGCATTCAGATTTAGAAGGTCCTGATTGGAACTTCTGGCATCTGTAAAGAAACAAAACAAAACAAATGAACACACAAACAAGAAAACCTCTATAGGTGCGACTGAAATCCTTTCTTCACACAACTGCCAGGACACGGAACTTTAACTTCATGTACTTTATGTACACATCCACCCATCTATGTATCTCACATACTCCCTTCCAGAAAAGTCCACCATTCGTGGGCTTCCAAATTTTTTTTGCTCATACTTGGAACTTTAGTGGCAAGAACTCCTCCCCTCCCCCCCAACTTATGAAACACAGTGTATTATAACATCCTTTTCTCTTTTAGCCATTTGAGAGGAACAGAAATTAGAATGGTCAAGAGCTAAATCAGGGCTAGTTAGTCCAGAGCTTTTCCAAAGAGAAAGCTTCAAGATTGTGCCTGGTAAGGAGCTAAAATGATCATATCTCTTAGCAATTAAACAAGTTCAAGCTGGCTAAATAGTGACTGTCTCTGGAATGGCTGAGGTAAGGACATGGTGGCATCCAATCAGGTAGGGACACTCTAGGGCTTCAGAGGGGGACTGTTTCTAAAAGTGGGGGGTTGGTCCAGGCACATTTGCTACCTATATACCTTATGAGTGCATTAGAGACGCGCTTATGAGTATAAAATATTTTGTAAGAAATATGGAGAAATTCAGGCAAAGGATATTGTAAGTCTTCTTTGATCAAAGAATATAGAAACAAACAAAAGGCAAACAACCAAACAAACAAAGATTTGTGTTTCATGCAAATTTTCCCCATCAGTGGATGATGCCAGTTTCCAGCCTTGGCAATTTTCTTTTCTATTACCTTAGTACACAAATTTTCCTGATTAAGGAAGTCCCCCATCATCAAATGTAAACCCTGGTCACACTGAAGAACTCATCTCTAAAGTAAGGAGTGTTTTATTTAGAGCAGTAAGGGTATAATTACTTTCCATTGACCTTCAACTTATGGAAAAAGGGCAGGTCATGGAAGGCTGTAGATCTATCTTGTTTTATTTCAAAACAAATTCTATTTTTATTTTTTCCCTCTTGGACCAGACTTTCCATGATCTGCACTGCGGGAGAGAGATGCAGAAGTATATAGATCCCCACAGAACAGGCAAACTCGCAATGGTATAATTTCAAAAACTGCTTACTTCCTGGCCAACCCTGAACCCCCTTTGGAGCAGAGCGGGACATTGTGTGCATTCCTTTCCTTCCTCCCTGAAAGTGATGGAGGCTAATGCAAGGCCGTGATGGGAAGTAAGCTGTAAAGGGTGTGCTACTCCCGATGGAGAGTCCATGGCTAACATTGCTAACTGATTGCAAAACTCTTCCCTATTGAGCCAAATGGAAGCAGAATCTACAACGCAGGGCCTCAAACAGTCCCCTCCAGTCTGTTGGAGATGACATAAGCACATGGACCTGGTTGCCATCACCGGTGAAACTGAAGACCAATGCCCTGAGTGAGTGGGAATACTGAATTTCCCTGCGACCTATTTATACTTCTGCTTTATGACTCTCCCCTTGGCAATGCCAGCTCTCCAGCTGGCAGGTTTTTGAGATGTTACAGACCAAATCCATCACACTGAGTGAGATGACTTCTTCAAATCATTCAGAACAACAGTTCTCCAAATGAGTGTGCATTAGAAACACTGGGTGCTTGCCCACACCCCCCACCATAGATTAAGGTAAGTCCAAGGTAGAGTGCAGGTGATTCTGGCACAGGTAGTCCACACTTTTAAAAACACAATCCAAAACATAACCCAAAACCAAAAACCAATGTTATTTACTTTATGAACTCCTGTGGTTTTTTTAAAGGAGGAAAGGGAAGAAGGGTGTTTACTAGTTTGACACATATCTCTTCTTAAAGGATCTTATTGAGACTCTAAGTCTAAGGAAAATATCTTGGAAAAAGATGAGCAATGAAAGAGCAAGCCAATAGCAGCAGCAACCTGCCACAACCTTAGACCTAGGAGCTGGAGAGAGCAAGGCGCCCACGGGGATGATGGCTACAACCTGGGGGAATGAGAGAAGCGGTCACTGCTGCTCACTGTGTCTCACCCCATACTAAGCTAACATTTTAAAGCCTCATTTAAAAGATGTATCTCAAGATAAACCTGTGCTAAATTTAAAAAAATAAAATAAAAAATAAAAAATGAAAGACCAACAAAAAACCCCACTACCTTTGGACCGGTCTAGTTTATCTTTGGAGCGAGACTCTTTTCTGGTGGTTCTGGGGACTTAGAGGAGTGCCACATAAGGGGGGGCACTAGATACAGCTTCCAGTCCTGTTGCCCCACCCATCTGTTCAGACCTGGAAAGTGACAGATGGAAGTCCTAATTATTTGTCCTATTTCTCTGGCCACTGATTTACCCAAGCCCACCTCTACCCCCTCAAACAATAAACTATGAAACAGTAGATTCTCAGAAACATGTTGAGTGGATGGACACATGAATCCAACTTTACTTCAGGAAAGAGCTCCCAGAGGTCTCCTGACATGGATTTGAGGGTCTTTTAAGGCCTCTGATTGCATCACCTGCATCACCTTTTAAAATATTTTTGCACGAAAAAAATTCTCTTCCCAGGAGCCCACTCCAAAGCCAGTGCTGCCAGTTGGAATGCGCGTGGAGTGGCTTGATCAGGGAGCACTTCGGCTACGAATAATTGAGAAGAGCCTGGCTGCCAATGGACCCAGGAGCACAACCACTGTCTGACAACTTCCTCTGGTTCACAAGCTGCCCACTATGTATAAAAGAACAAAGGTTGGAGCAGATGTTTGCATGAAAAGTTGTCCAGTTGAAAAATTGGCTCTAAGTCAAATTAAAAATAGGACTTCATAAAATAGATCACACTTGTTCGGTGACAGTCATTCACCTGTCTCTGCATTACTCAAGGTCACTGCTGCCGGCTGCTTTTTATATAGGGAAAGAATTGGCTACTGGTTCTCATTATGTCTTCTTAAATTTTAATGCCATCTTCTCAGCAAGACCGAATTCCACATAACTCTAGGACACCTAGCATTGGAATGTAAGCCAGCCACAACCACGGGGGTCCATCTTTCCTCCAGGGAACAAGTGAATTGTCCAGATTCATGGGGTGTGTACTTCCAAATAATGCCAGATTAAAATTTGTTTAGCTTTCATCTCAGTTCAGTTCAGTACATATTTACCGAGCCCCTACAATTTGCCAGGCTTTGTGTAAGGCCCTGAGGATCCGGTGGTGAATCAGTCAGACATGCTCTGGCCTCACCAGAGGAGCTCTGAGTCAAATGCAGGAATTCTTACCTCTTGGGAGCTACAGAGCCCTTCTGAAGTTTGCGGAAACCTATGAACCCTTTTGTGGGATAATATTCTTAAATATAATAAATACAGAGGGCTATAAAAAATCAATGATAATAAAATTACCTCAATAATTTAAAAACCTGATATAATAATATATGTGCTTCTTTATTAATGTATTAAATAAATTCCTGTGTATTAAAGAAGTTCCTCTGATAGTGATGAGCATAAATATTTCAAGAGGTCAGTGATAACTGCGTTATGAAATATCTGCTCCATTGTTGACGAAGTCATAGCAGCTGCTAACACTACTGGGTTCTGCTGCCTCCACACACGCTGGAAGGAAATGATGAATTTCAGTTTGAAGTTAGTGAAAAAAAAAGATGTAATTTTTTCCACAGCTAAGTCCATAACCACCCCTGGAGCCCCCCTGAATTTCTATCTGTGGATCACTTGGAGATTTGTCTAGTCAGGTTAAGTCAGATTTCCTGGTAGTGGATTAGATGATGAATTCGGTAATTATTCCTCTATAGCATATCTGTATCTGTATATCTAAATAGAAATAAAATATAATGTGTGGCAGATGGTGTGATTGGAGAGTATAGGGCTATTGTAATATCTAATCGAGGAAGGCTGGGACATCTGGAAGAAGTCTGCCACTTCCATGGACGTTGGGACATAAAATATAAGTAGAATTAAACCAACAGAAGGAGTATAAGGAGGGGGAATGAAGCGCTGTTTCAGACAAAACAAACCATATATGCAAACTCTAAAGCAAAATGGAGCATGCAAGGAAGGGGTGAGAGAAGTTTCCAGAGCTGGACTGTGGAATGGTGACGCGCATGTGGCTGGGGAGGGCTAAGAGCTGGCACTGGACTGGGGAAGACACCAGGTCATTAGGGAAGATAAGCCATGCTAAGGAGTTTGGCCTCTGTCCTAAGGCTGGCGAGAAACCGCGGTTGGTTTTTAGGAAGTGTGTTAATTCCGAGATCACTTGGACTACTATGTGGAAAGCAGATCACGAGGGTAAAAGAAACCGGCAGAGAGACCGCTGGAAGGCTGCTGAGCCAATCTGGCCACTGACCCAATGTGGAAGTGAGCAGGACTCTGCGCCTACCATGGCACCTTCCCTGAAACTGAGATTTCAAAAAGAGATGTGGGTTTAGGCTAAGGGAGAAATACTGAATTTGGTTTTGAGTGTGGTCAGTTTCATGTGTCTGTGAGAAATCCAAGTGGCCATAACCAGTGTGCTGGTGTGTATCTGCGTGCAGTCTGATGCACAGAAATAAAATATGGGCTGGAGATGTAAATTAAGATAATCTTTTTCTTGTTGGAAACCAAACCAAAGATTCTAAAATTGGTGACAAACTATACTGAATCACATATTACATAATTATTTTTTAAAAACTACCATTTAATGCTATGTTTCGGCACCATAATATATAATTTGTATATATTTTTTCAGTCTTTGAAAAATTGTATGATCTAGGTATATTTGTGCTAACTTCGCAGACAGGGAACATCAATACTGACAGAGGCTAAGTGATCTGTAGGTCATATGATGAGTAAAAGACAGAACCAGACTTTAAACCAGGCCATCTGATGCCCAAATCCATGCTCTTAAATACCATGTTCTAGGATTTCCCTAACTAATGCCCTCCGTGAGAAAAAAGCATAACACTGCATTTACAGAAAAGACAATAGAAATTTCAGATTTTTTCTTTCTCTCTTCCTGAAAATTCCACTAATCTCT